TGAATCTTTTCACTACCTTCCAAGTAACATGTTGACCTTGAAAGAGGATCAATGTCATTATATTAACAAACTTGATAGTCATACATCCCAGCAAGCTACAGGCCTAAAGTCATAACTCTAGGCCTAATGCATCTTCAGAAAACCCTGTTTAGTGAGACTGGTAATATAAGCTAATGAAGAACAAATCTCAATTATTTTTAGAATCTAGTTTTATTTACAGAAATACAAGGTTTAGTGGTTCAAAGTAATTGCTGGATATATGTTGACACAATGTCCTCACAAAAAGTTTTGCTTCCTCAAGCCCTATCCTGCACATAGAACTAGACTCCACTCAATGTCAAGACATATAAATTAGGAGTTAGCGTTGGGTCCCTTCCTGCGGCCGAATGTGGCAACGGTTACTCCAAACCTTCTGTTGTACTGCATCCTCCTCTTGGCACGGCCGGTCTTGGCCTTCTTCTTCTCCTGTTTGTCTACCTGTAAAACAAGCAAGGACAACAATGAGTCGATGTTTGTAGCCAACTTTGTTTATTTGTGTGTCCTCATCATGCATTAATCCTGATAACAGACAGGAATACAATAGTTCATTCCTGAATATTTAGGGTTCTTCATATTTTGGAGATATTGTCAACAAAAACACTGAATCAGTTCATCTTGAATGCATATATCGGTATATAAAATTGTGTATGATGGGAAAGCAATGAGTAATCTGAAGAATGGCAAGTATAATTCTGTGTAACAAACCTTTGGTGTCTGTCCCTTTACTTTACCAGCACGAGCCAGAGAGCCGTGGACTTTACCTGAAAAAACAAAATTAATGACATCAAAAACCTTTTCCCATATCATCAATACATTAAAACCATCGGATGAAAGCTTGTTAACTTCTTATGAATTAAGATGGATCCCATCTTTTCAATCCATATTTTACACAAGGAATATCATTAATTGACCCAGTTTCACAAAATCAAGCTTGAGCAGGTTGATATTTTAGGCATATATTCAAAGTTTAATGAAAAAGGAAATATTCCTCCAAGGAATATTAGATGGAAACTGTGACTTTTCACACAATCTAATATGGCTGCTAACAGCCATGTTCATTTTATGACTTTTGTCTATAAAATCAAACTTGAGCGGGTTATTGATATAATCAGTATGTGTAGGAAGTTTCACAAAAAAATCCTTCAAAGGTTATTGCAAAGAAACTATAAAGACAATGATGACAACATCGTAATCCTTATATGTTGCCTTCGCTTTATGAGCAACACAAAAACTGCCTATTTCCTTGCCTCACAAATAGACTTCAATGGATATTTTTTTCCTGTAGCTTGAATAAAGACGTATCACAGTTCAACATAAGCTTCAGCCAAAGAAAATAAATAACTGAAAGATTAATAATGAAAAAAACTTTTCAAACCCACTTCACTTAGTGTTGCAATATACATTTCACCATTGATCCGAGGTGTACAATTTCACTAGCTCCAAGCTACCTACCATGGCTAGATTTTATGACAGGACTGATGACAAAAAGATAAGTCTGGCTAGGAGAATATTTTTAATCTACCTTTAGGTTATTCCTTTTAAATATGAAATTGTACACCCCTGATTATTTTACATGCAAGTAATGGCTGTCCAAAGTTAAACTTTAGTATCGGACCAATAAATAAAATAACATCAGAAATGAATCACGTGGGAATTTTTGCATCGCGTGTAAATGTTTCTCCAAATGGTTGAGAAGAAACAAAGCACTTGATGCTAACTATTTTGTTAAACTGACCTCCAAGCATACGGACATCACAATCCAAGGTGGCGAGGTCATCAAAGCTGATAAGTTTGACATTGTCACTTAGAGGCTTGCCAGCATACAGGATGACTTGCTCCTCGCATGGGAATCCTTCGGTGCCATTGAGAAATGTCTGAAAATACATACAACTTGCTTTTAGAGCATATCAAGTTTTGAAAGAGATGTACATATTTGACTTGATCTACCCATAGTTTCAGAGAAATCTTTGCTTTTTTGTTGAAATAATGACACATTCTTTATAGCAAAACATTGTACAACAATTAAAATTGGGAAGGCCATGATATGACTTAGATATGGAACAACTGTGTGATGGACTGCACTCCCAACAACATTTCATTTATTAACGTCAATGTTACACTACATGTAGCTCCCACCTCAGTCCATTTTATTCTCAATCTGGGTTTGGTATGGTGTGGTCTTGCATGGATAGCCAGTGTTAACTATTCTGCCCATAGCATTACCATTCTGGTAAATAAAATATGCCTTATCTTATAATTGTCATATTCGCTGGCCAAGTGTTCGCTTTGTATACACTCCACTTACCCAGATATAGCCGTCTGAATACTGTTCTGTTATAATCATGCTTCACAGTCTCATGTTAAGGTAGTTAGTTGATACTTATGTAAACCTAATCTGTGTTTTCATAATTCCCTCTACTGCCACCTAGTGGATATACAGAGTTATCGTTCTTCTCCCAATAAACTTTTAACCAATCAGAATGACCGTAACATACACACTCCATCGGCGTGTTGACATAAGCATGTGTATGTCGAGGCGGAGTATAAATGACAGAGCAAAATGGAAACAATCCAAAGGCAGCACACATATTTTCCCAGGTCATCATTTGTATGTGGCACGTAGTCAAAGATTTCCACCAACTGATTTAACACTCCAAAAGTTTCCCAAAAGATTGTGCGCCTAATTTTTTGAGGCCGTCACCATTACTGTTTTCCTTCGTCAACAGCGCTATATGTAAGACGCGATTTCATTGGATGCGAGCGATTGGCACTGCAAGAAAATTTGAAGGCTCAGTAAACACGGCTATATCCGCCAAGGGTAAGTGGAGCGTATACGAAGCTAACACTTAGCTAGCAAGGATGAATAATTGTAAGTTTTAGCAATTTACCTTGACATCCTGCACGGTTTCTTCACCTGCAATTTGCAAGGTGTGCGTCTTGGTTCCGCGTACGAACAACTGCATTTTTACCTGGAGTAAGTAAAGAAAGAAAAAGTTAAGGATATGTTTGTTAAAGATAGATAAATGACTCATTGAGTGATTATGATAATACACTTAATTCCTCATTTTGATCGCCATAAAATAAAAGTGCCTTGGCCACACACTAGCCAGAGTTTACCGGCAACAAAAATCTACTATGACACAACACATATACCTCACATAAATTGCTAAATAGATCATTTATTGATCCAAATTTCTTTTAATCACCAACAGCTGCTAAATTCTGTGGGTAGAGTCCTCATTTTCAATTGTTCAAAATGGTCAAAGGTCATGGGGTGACTTATCAACAAATCGTACTGATCCGGACCCAAAAAGGAATATATTATTCTTGTTTAGAAGATATCCGGACCACATCTCACGGTGTCAGAGAATTCCATGTTTTCATATAGCAGTGCCTTCTGGTCAGAGTCGGCAGACATCTACCGGTTTTATGTCAAAATGACTAAGTCTGGTGTTAGGGCCAGAAGAAACTCTGGCCAAGAGGTAGTGAAAAAATGCTAATGGTTAATTCTTTCAAAGGTCATGTGTGATTTTTTTTCTGGAAACTGAAGTCATGTATAATAGAATGTTTTCAATAATATTAAAACTTTTCTAATGGGACATTTTTTATCCACTGCATAAAAAAATAAAGAGATTAAGGGTACATTTGCATATCCGGTTGAAATGGTTGAACCTGTAAAGAAAACGACAGGCACAGATCTGGACCGAGACTGACCTCAGGAAAATTTGGCATGTGTAAATCGAGAGGTCTAGACGTACCTGACCGAAACTAAAATGCTGACTATTGCTAGTTTGCGCCATTTCTTTCTTAAACAATGTCAAGCCACATGTAGTTTTTAAGATACGTTATGTAATTCAGTGGACGCATGAAAGAAGGGCATACTATTTTTGATACATTGTTTTTTATTTCCGAAACTGCATTTTTAGCTCTGCTTATAGAACGGTCTAAGTGCGTTCATTGGAATATTTCTCTGCCACACGTACCGGTTCAACCGGGACACGCGAGTGTAGGCATAGTCATTTTGGACTATAACTAACAGTAGATAAAACGATTAGAGACTATCACATATGAAGCCTGTGCGTATAACGGTATACTTTCGCTCAGTTGACATCAATGGTAAGCCGGGGCTTGTATAGATGTATCTTCTTCTCTACTTAATAGTATAACGAATACTACACTCCGAGTATTCACATATTCTGAGCATATTCATAAAATGAAACTAAGTCTAGTTTTATGGGAAAATACCAACAAATAATTAACTTAATTGTATATATATGATAAAGGACATGTTAATTGTACACCAAAAGTATATCATACTGTAAATATTGTAATATCAACTGATATGGACACAGAGGCTTACAGTCTGCGTCCATTATTTATCGTATTAAATGTCCAGACACTTAAATATTCTCTCGACATTTAAATAATCATGATCACACAGAAATGTATTTTCATTATAATGTTTTAACAGCGCAGACCACTCCTCCGTATTGAAGACATTTATTATCTACATTTATCGCGTCAATGAATGTAAAAACCATCGCGGTTTCACTTGGATCGTCTATATATGACAGCAAGCTAAAAAGTCGCAGTCAGTAGTGAGTAGACCTACCTTATCGAGCTTCTAATGAACGATGATGCCAACAATACAGATATATTATTAACTGCAAAGACTGTACAACTTACATGGACACTTTATTATATATAGAAAATCTTATGATATCATAACAATGTGAAATAGCGCGACAAAGTATCTGATAACTTACACGTGCTTGTGCAATCTAAAATGGCAGCGAGGAAAAAGAAAGCTGCTGCGCATGCTCATAATAGATCTTCGAAACGTTTGGTTATATTGGCGCTTAAATACTCATTTGTTACACCTCTAGATCTATCCATAACATATCGTCGGTCAAAGAAAACTTCCAAAACATCCCAAATGATTTCACAATTTTGATGACGTTCTTCACAAGGCACCAAGTTTCATTGCGCGGTCGAAATAACAGAATGGCAGATATTTTAGGCCAAACTTGTTTACATCGGTTGGGAGACAATGTCAAGAAACATAGACTGATATCGTTCTCTGATAAGAACGAGGTAAACGTTGAGAAAGTTAACAAGCACTCGTGTTTGTGCATTTTCAAAGATTTGAATATAAACACTCGTTGTTTACATTTGTCATTTCAAGACCCAAGTTCACTTCATCGACAGGGGCACGGTTCAATTTATCAATTGAACCGTGTCCCTGTGCTTCATCCCTTATATATAAGCGATTGTGACTCGTTTGATGGAATATCCCTTTTTACTGAAACCAAAAAATCCCGCTTATAAGAAACTATCTTGAATGAAAACAAAAACTGCAAAGAAGCAAATATCCAAAATGTTGCGTTTCTCAGTGGCACTATCATAGGTTTCAAATGTAGGGGTAATTTTAGGGGGCCATTGACCCCTAAAACTGAAATGGACCCCTTCCATGTTCCAATTTACTTTTAACTTTACAAAGAATGGCCCCTCTTAATTTTGAAATTGACCAAAAACTACTAAAAATGGCCCACTGCTCTGAAATTCCATCGTTTTCCCTACAAATGTCTAATACACATATGCTATATGGATATAAACAATCGTTATTTACATTTGTCATTTCAAGACTCAAGTTTACTTCATCAACAGGGGCACAATTCAATTTATCAATTGAACCGTGTTCCTTCCTCCACCGAACTGTGGACATATGGAACAGTCTGCCAACAGGGTTTGTAATGTCACAAACTGCGAGCATTTGAATCAAGCCTTGTCACCATTGGAAGAACCAACCATTCTCTTTAACCACAGGGAACCTATATTGAGGCCACAATAATTTGATTTAGCAAGAAACTAGCACTCATTTAACATATATAAGAACATATTATATCTACATTAAATAAGAATCACTAACTTGTTTATACCTGAAACATAATGCAATGTACAGATAACTGTTAATTTATGAACTTATAATAACAGAGCTGTGACATTATCAGCAATGGACTTGCAAAAATAATCATAAATAATATTACTACCAATAATATCAACCAACCTTTATTTATATAACACAGCTGATAGCAGAGGAAATGTAAACATTCCTAAAGTCAGAATAAAATCTGTGTATATTGATATGAGTCGCACTCACAGCACACATGAACATACGTGTGTATCAGACATTCATCAACTAATGGTAAACCATCTGTGCATTATTTCATCATTCAAACATTTAATTATGTCTGCAAGTATCAAAAACTAACAATGCTTTGTGGTGTCATCTTCCATTGCGACCTCATAGTACATAGAAATTGTATTCCCAAGAGAAACCTGTATGGTTTTCTAGAGATAATATCTGAACGTTGTGGCAGAAAAGGTCCCCAAACTCGTGATGGTTGATCATTATAATGTTTCTAAATATTTAAATTGAGCGAGATAAACATGATAACAAAACTTCACTCATTAGGAATGTCTATTTAATAATGCACATCGTACGAGATATTATTTTTTAACAAAACATACTGATGGTTCTTTTCATGGAACAGAATTACAATCAGTAAGACAGTTGCAATTAAGTAGTGTAACAGGAGAAGTAAACATATACTAGGATGTGTAACCTGGACCCTCAGACTCTCTGGATGGATGCTTAACTAGCAGAGCTACCACATCATCAGCAATCAAACCAGTCCAGTTTCAATATATATCTCTTTTTTTTCCCCCACAAGTCTTCACTACTGAAAACAATATTACTTACAACCCAGGTTTATATATATATCCTCTTGCCAAGCATACACCTAGAACTTGAAACAAGGGTCGGCACCCCTATGACAAGAGGGGAAAATTCATGACTATAGACAGGGAATTGAAATCGGCACCTCTGACTCTTAGGCAGAAGCTCTAACCAACTGAGCTACCTGGTTGCTAGAAATCAACCCTGGTTACCCAGTATAGTTCCACTACATGTCTGTTTAAATGGCACATCTTCGTTTCTGGAAACTAGGACTTTGCCTGAGGAACTGTACATCAGAAATGGGATGGTTTCAATCCTGATTGCATACTTCAGAATTCTGATATAAAAAGGAGACCGATCAAAATTTTAACATCACATGGACATATAGGAAATGACATTTCATTAATATTGTTAAAAAACTGATATTCTATAAGCTTTAACCTGCAGACCTGTTTTGTTCTGACCACAATGTCTAGCCTGTGGTGTGACATTTAAGCCTCTGACCAACATGTTGGATAGGACTTCACTGTAATACATTGTACATTTATGTTCATTTTGTAATGTTTTCAATTCTAGGTAACGATTGGCAGGTCTCCAGACGTTACAGTATGTCTTTTGTCCAACATGATCTCGCGCTGCCATGCAACACTACAGAAGTCTGAATCTGGGACCTGGACCATCAAGGACAATAAGGTAGAAAGGCAGTAGTGGGCTATAATACCATTTGTATGATGTGGAGGTTATTAGATGTGTCCAGTTACAGAACACAAGATATTGTCAATCATGTTTGCTATTGAATCTGTCATTTATATTAATACATACTGCAAAAGTTTTGTTTTTTTAGTTCACCTGGGCTTGAGTGAGCTGTTGTCATTTGTTTGTTTGACCTCATGTTAAATTGTATGATCCAAATGTGATTCTGCTAAGGAGGAAAGCTTTGCATAAGTTATATAAGGAAAATACAGGAAGTGCTTCTACATCTATACTATTTCGTCTTATCTTCTGAGTTATCTTTTCTTGTGAGCAGGTATTGATTGTAACGTCATTGGTTTGTGTGAGAAATTTACGTCGTTTTCTCAAAAATTGATGACGTTACTCTCACAAACAAGTGACGTAACAATCAATACCTGCTCACAAGAGAAGATAACTCTGCAATACGAAAAGACGGAATACAAGTGAAGTAGTCAAAATTTAAAATAAAGTGAAGGCAGTGTATATCTATTTAGGCCTTTTCAATGGACTCATGCTAATTGCAAGCTGCATATGTTTTCACCTGGAATCCTATATATATATATCGGCGGGGAAAAAAAGTTTTTTTTCTATTAGTAGAATATCAATCTAATGATGTCGTTGATTGTCTTTTTGACAGAGCCTAAATGGGGTGTTTATTAATGATGTACGGCTGGTGGCCAACCAACCATGTACACTTGAGGAGGGAGACATTGTACAGCTTGGCATTGCAAAAACACCACAGGAAAAGGCAGAGTTTATATTCAAATTCCATAAAAATCTCAAAGTGAAGCGTGTTCGACAGAACTCTTCTCAGGATAATTCAGAAAAGCAAGTAGAGAATTGTGTTGAAAAATATCCAATGAAGAGAATAAAACTAGACTGTGACGCCAAGCCAGTGAAATCAATTCTTAAAAAGGGTCCAACAGAAAAACCAGAAAGTGATTCACGAGTGTCGAGTTCCCAACCTGATCTCGGATGTTCTGACGAAGAGGCAGACAACAAGGACACACCTAGGAAAAACAACAGAGTGAACCCTGACAAAGACTGGTCACCATTTCAAGATTACAAAGAAAAAGTTAAACAACAGGAAATGGAATCTTATTCAAAATTAAAGGAGTACGAGGCAAAGATGGCAGAGATGCAAAAAATGCTACAAGAGAAAGAAGCAGCACAGAATGAGATAAAGAATGAACTTGAAGAAGAAAAGAGAAGAAGAGAACACCAGGCAAAGGAGTTAAATACGATGTTAAAAAAGAAAGAGGAAGAAATGGAAGTTGCATTGACAAAGAAAAAGGTAACTTAATGTCCATGTATTCATTTTACTTTATCAGTTATTGGTTGATACTGTATGCTTACATGCTCACTTGATCTAGAATTCATATCAGCAATTCTTCCATGTGTCTGAGCTGATCTACCCTTTGTTATTTCTATAGCTTCGTCGAGTCTCCACAGGAGCCTGTACTTAAAGTGGTAAAATTTTGTGATCTGTTCACGAAATTGGAAAATGAGGCAAAGATAACAGATACATGATAATCAGAAAATTTGTCATTAAAGCTTGAAAGTTAAACTATTTGTTTTGAAGGAAATCAATGCATGACTCATCCCCACTTAATTGATTTTTTTTCTCTCACAACTTTGGAGAATTCTCAAGATTTTGTGAAAATTAAATAAAGGGGAAATAGTTCAACTTTGCCATGGGAAAAAAATACTAGAATTAGACCACTTAATACATATACGAAAACTAATTACTTGGGTATATTAGAAGTGGGCAGGTGCAGCGTCAATATTAAGCTTACACCTGTCTTTATGATTGATAAACAATGCTTACAAAATATTGTTGGGATGAATGTCATTGTACATGTTTGTATGTAGAACTATCATTTATTTAAATATTTATTTCAAAACATCGGCACTTTCAGGAGGAAGAAGAGAAAATGAAAGAAGAACTTGAAAACCAATTACTCAATAGAGAGGCACAAATGCTGGAACAACTTCAATCTGAGAAAGACCGTCTGCTAGCAGAAAAGCGGAAAATAGAAGAAAATCTTAAGTTGACAATAGAAGAAAAAGATCGGCAGCTACAACAAGAACTTGTCCAACAAAAAGAAAAGCTGGATGGTATCATAAATAAAAAGGAAGCTGAGCAGCGGATGCTGGAAAGTCAACTGAACGACACGAAGGCAGAAAAGGATCAACAGAAGGAAGCCATGTTACATGCTAGGGAAGACATTCTGACAAACTTTGCCGATCTCATGGAGACAGAGTTACAGTGTAGTATCTGTAATGAACTGTTTGTACAGGTAAGGACTTACTATTTCTCAATCATCTCCTTTGATAGATCATACTGAAGATAAAGGTAATCTTTCCCCACCTTGGGGGCAAGACAGAAAAATCTGAACCCAAGGGGTAAGATTCTTCAATGTCTTGCCAGAGGCTTTGTCAAGTGGGGGATGGTTATTTTTTCTCCCACATCAAATACAAACTTCTGGTAATTTCATGAAATGCAAATGTTAATTTCATAATTTCCAATGGAATAAGAGTTATCTTTCATGATCTGCTATAATGGAAGGGCCAAGCAAGCTTATGCCCAGGTGCAGCGTCCGTCCTGGGGGAGAAATCCTTTTCTATTATGATGTAAAGGAGATCATTTATGATATGCAGACAAAATATGTTATTTTTGTGTTTATTAAATACTTTATGTTTTGTATGGTACTTTTGAAGACTCTCTTTAGCATTTGTGTTGGTATGCTGTCATCTTCATCAACATGTGTTGGTAATCGTTCCTGTTTTTATCCAACTAGTAGTTGTTGGACAGTACTGATAGCTTGCTTTGTTCATCCTTTTAACTGTTCCAGGTTATGTGTCATATGTATCATATTAGACTAACCGTGTGATGTTTTATATAGTGATAGAATGTCAAGTTTGACTGTGAATTGATAATTATTTCCAGTAACACACTTTAGGATTTAAACACCATAGACAATAGGTTTTACTCTATGAGATGTTAATTTCTTATAGACCTACTGAAAATTTGATAGACCAGACTTTGACCAAGAAAATGTTACTTTATCATTAATACTTAATTATTCAATAACATGGAATTAAAAACTAATGTGTTATAGTAAAGGAAGACAAGGAATTTCACAAGACTTTTCTCTCACTACTATATTTAGTGAATTGTATGCATCATATCATAGGAAATAACATCATAGATCACTTTGCCTATGAAGTAAATGATAAACATAGACCACCTAAATGATTAACATAGACCTAAATGATTAACATACCCTGAGTGTTTTTCATGGTGATTGGGTCTACTGTTAAGTTTGAACACTAGTTCCCAATTTGTCTTGAACCATCAGCAAAGATGGAAAGTTAATGATGGTATAATAACTAAAAGCCTCTACTATTTGTTATCTTTACCTACAGGCCACCTCTTTGAACTGTTCCCATGCGTTCTGTACTTACTGTATAGCAGAGTGGATGAAGGTGAAGAAAGAATGTCCGAACTGTCGGGCACCAATCACATCTAGCTTGCGTTCCATTGTGTTGGACAGCTATATAGACAAAATGGTGGAACATCTCAGTGACGACTTAAAACGTCAACGTGATGAGTTGGTGGCTGCTCGCAAAGGTAGGAATTAGTAACCTGACTACCAGGTAGCCTGTGTCAGCAGTAGAACTGATGGTCTTATCTTAAAGGTAGGAATTGTTAACCTGACTACCAGGTAGCCTGTGTCAGCAGTAGAACTGATGGTCTTATCTTAAAGGCAGGAATTGGTAACCTGACTACCAGGTAGCCTGTGTCAGCAGTTTAACTGATAATCTTATCTTAAAGGTAGGAATTGGTAACCTGACTACTAGGTAGCCTGTGTCAGAAGTAGAACTGATGGTCTTATCTTAAAGGTAGGAAATTGTGGCCTCTCAGAAAAGGCAAAATGTTTTATCTTTCCTGAAGAGAAAAGTGGTGCCTCTTGCTAAGGTAAGAATTTGTGGCCTTTTTCAAAGGTAGGAATTATTGACCATGTAAATGTAGGTAATGGACATGTTTTTCTCATAACCCTAAATTAACATCAGATTTTTTTTAACCGCTGAATAATTCCGATTCCTCATCCAAGATGGCTGCCATGGTTTCTGACTGGTTGACCTATTATGATATATACCGGCAACTTGAATACCATTGGATTGTAATGTGATTTTGTTTGACTGTAACGATATGATTTGTCTCCTGATCCTGGGTAAACATCATGGGTTTCCAATGAAATAGTTCAAGATGGCTACCAAGAATCACAACTGGCTTATAATGTTGTGACTTACAAATGATTTTTTTGGTCAAATAGGTTCTAATTTTACTGGTAAGGTTTTTTTGCCCGATAGTTAATGGGAATTGTATTTAATTCAATGATATCTAATCTTGCGTTTAGATACTCTTTCTTCTACTTCGGTTAACTGTATCACAATTAACACTTGCTCTCGATGACATTTCCATATACAAGATATTAAATGATGTCCCTTACCATATCGGTTTTCAGTCTAACTTAATTCTCAAAGGCAAGTTAAAAATGAATAGTATATGAAGATATTTATTTTGCATACCTAGAGTTTCCGAATAAGTCTGATGAAGGACAATATATCCACAGATGTATTTTGCCTTGTTTCAATATTTCCCACACAGCATTAGGTCTGTGGATTTCGATTATGTACACACTAAACATAACATGGTTATTGGATGTACATTATATTTAAGACTTAATGATAAGCATTTTGTCTGATTCCATTGTTTTTAGCTCACCTGGTCCGAAGGACCATGATGAGCTTATACCATGCTGCAGCGTCCGTCCGTCAACTTTTCCTTTAAAACGCTACTTGTCCTGAAGGCCAAGTAGATTTTGACTAAATTTGGTCTAGAGCATCCTTAGGCCAAGGGGACTCAATTTTGTATAAACGGTGGGTGTGGCCCCCTGAGGGCAGAGAGGCGGGGCCCAATAGGGGAAATAGAGGTAAAACCTATAAAATCCTTCTACCTTAGGGATTAAGGGATTTTATCCTAATTTAGTCTGGAGCATCCTTGGGCCAAGGGGTCTCAATTTTGTATAATTGCTGGGTATTACCCCCCTAGGGGCATAGGGTTGGGGCTCTGTTTGAAGTTTTTTCTCGCTATATCTCAAGTACTGGATAGATCTTTCTGAAATTTCATATGTACTTACAGCACCTACCATGGAGTGCTATATCTTTACTTCATACCAACTATTTTAAACATATTCAGGTGAGCAATACAGGCCCTCTGGGCCTCTTGTTTGTAGCATATTTCAGTCTTATTTCTGAATTTGTGAACTAGGTTTGATCTCTCTTCAACAATTTTCTATGAAGTCCCATATCTGGAAAGCAAAATCCTTTTGAAAAAGACTAATAGTTAAATTACTTACATCCATACATTTCAAACTCTTATTTGTTTATAGCCGAGGCTGAAATAAAGGCAGAACAGGATAAACCAGGGACATCAGGGAATGGGCAGAGGAGGGGGCGTGGCCGAGGCCGAGGTAGAGGGAGAGGGCGAGGTAGAAACCGTGCAAATCCAGACCCTCCTCTTCCTGAAGCTCCGCCCATTGTAATACCCAGTGATGATGATAGTGATGATGCTATTGATGGAGGTGTGGTCTCGAGCGGTGGTGATTCTGATAGCGATCACTTTGAAAGTGCCAGCGATATGTCGTATGGTGATGGTGATGACTCTGATGACAGCTCTGACCTTGTTGGGGGAGCCTCAGGGGCTTACTTCGGTGGATATGGCAGATGTTTCAAATGTGGTAAATAAATACACTATTTAAAAAAATAATTATGCCACACCACAAAGTGACATATATTGTTACCCTTGTTTGTATGTTCGTCTGGCCAGTTAAGTTTTGGGTTAAGATAAATTATGGTCTAAGCACTGCAGCCAGGGTCAGGCAATTTCTCATGCTTATGATCTATGGATAAAGCGTGTTTCTTCAGTTTGTAACCTTGACCATGACCTCTGTGACCTTGCTTTGTTTCTTGAGTGTGGAGTGGGCATTTGTGTCTTACAAACACATTTCTAGTAATGACAAAACCTGGATAGTTTAGGATCATATCGTACAGAATATCAGTGTTGACCTGAAGGTGTTGTGTAAGTGTTGTAAATCTACAGTGGAGCGTAGTTAATCTGAAAACGAATTTCATAATGAAAAAAAAATGTTCAGAATGCTTTCATATACACATATTACAACGGACCTAGAAAACTTTGAAGAGATAACTTTTCCTTTTGTTAAGGAATATTTTTTTCCAGGAATCAACATGCCAGAATCAACAAAGTTCCACTGTACATATGTTGAAGGGTTGACATACCAGGTGGAAAACAATATTTACCTGTTATACGGGATTGAAAAAAAAGGACTTTATTGAATCTGGCATATTGTTCATAATATATGTTAAGGTTCATATCATTAATTAACTTTTTCCATCTATTTTATACAGGATCAAGAGGACATTGGGCAAATGGCTGTCCATATTCATAGTACCTTTGGGACAGACGGATGTCTTCGGTCATTGATAGTACCTGTGGGACAGACGGAAGTCTTCGGCCACTGATTAGTACTTGTAGGACAGACGGATGCTTCGGTCATTGATAGTAACTGTGGGACAGACGGATGTCTTTTGCCATTGATTAGTACCTGTAGGACAGACAGATGTCTTTTGCCATTGACTAGTACCTGTAGGACAGACAGATGTCTTTGGTCATTGTTTAATACCAGTAGGACAGACGGATTTCTTCGGTCACTGGTTAGTACCTGTAGGACACTGGTTAGTACCTGTAGGACACTGGTTAGTACCTGTAGGACAGACAGATGTCTTTTGCCATTGATTAGTACCTGTAGGACAGACGGATATCTTTGATCATTGTTTAATACCTGTGGGACAGACGGATATCTTTGATCATTGTTTAATACCAGTAGGACAGACGGATGTCTTCAGTCATTGATTAGTACCTGTGGGACAGACGGATGTCTTAGGTCATTGATTAGTACCAGTGGGACAGACGGATGTCTTAGGTCATTGATTAGTACCAGTGGGACAGACGGATGTCTTCAGTCATTGATTAGTACTTGTTGGACAGACGGATGTCTTTGGACATTGATTAATACCTGTGGGACAGACGGATGTCTACGATCATTGATTAGTACCTGCGGGACAGACGGAGGTCTTTGGTCATTGATTAGTACCTGTGGGACGGTCGGATGTCTTTGGTCATGGATTCTGTTCAGAGGAAGTAACCAATGTCTATCCTCCAACATTGATATGTATTAATACCATACACAGGTCCCGTCATCATCTCAACTTTGTCTTGTGAGTGGCAGACATTTTGTTATTAGGACACCATGATCACAACAGACGGACATGGAGAAAGTTTATGGTACTATCCTAGTTGTGTGTGAGACTAAGTAGGGTACTACAAAAGTAAAACACAGACAGTATTGTCCATTAAAATGATAACCTCTCCTTAATTTTTTTCTGGTAAAAAGGTGGATTGAGTTAATGGCTTCTATCTGTTTAGGGTAAAACATTGTTGTTACAGGTTTATATTTATTTTTGTTTTAATACATACACCCCAGGATACCTAGAATATTCAAACAGGAACCTATAGCTCATAAAAAGACAGGTCTATTGGAGAACAGAAATCAATTAACTATAGCTCATAAATAGACAGGTCTATTGGAGAATAGAAATCAATCAAGATCGGATAATAAGCCTCTATGACAAGGGTGCCAAAATTGTGAAAATGTTAGATACCCATGGTGTTCAATTAATTGCCTTTTTTTCATATTGTTTGTCTAGAGATAGTCAATATAAATTATTGTTGGATTGAAAATGGAACTTTTTGATGAATTCTGTTACCTATTTGGAATAAATGTTTGCAAGAAAACTATATGATCTGAATTGTGGCAGCATTTACTCTCTGAATATATAAGTGTTTGTTCAATAAAAATATTGTGATTAAGTTTATGTGTATTTGGTTGTTTGTCCTTTAATACTATAGATTAACAGCAACTTGCTCAATATTGTTACACAAGGTAAAAAATATTGCCTCAGAGAAATTCGTCGTACTGTACATACATGTACAGGTTTAATAGGAGCAGAGAAATGTAATGCCAGACCAGGGTTCGAACCCGGGACCTTCCAAACTCAAATCACCCTGCATCCGTGGTCCGTCCATAAACAATTCTTGTTATCGGTATTTCTCAAGAAGTACCAGAGGGATCTTTCTCAAATTTTATATACAGGTTCCCCTTGGTCCTAAGCTGTGCAGGGCAACTTTTGAGACTGATCGGATAAACAACATGGCCGACAGGCAGCCATCTTGGATTTTGATATTGAAAGTTTGTTATCGCTATTTCTCA